ACATTTAAATTGATGACGTCACAAGTGGTACAAAGAGCACGACCATTAATTATGCATATATGCGTAGTTGGTATTCAAAGGGTTAACGTCACAGAACGCTTCTTCTGAAGGTAACGAACCTCCGAAATTCTATAAGAGTGGACAGTGCACGGTGCATTACTTAGAATTATTGAACCTGCAATGAAGCAATCTGATTGTTAAGCCTCGTCGACACCAGCAATTTTTCATATGTAACAACTTTCATTTGTCACAAAAAATATATTTGTCAGCAAATATAATCGTCACAAAAATTGGCCAATTTTCCTCATCTACACTAGCAAATAAAAATTGTCACATAAAAATTGCTCGTGTACACGAGGCTTTAGTTGTTAGATTAGTTGTTAGATCTATCTCCCAAGAGTTTTTGCGATAATGAAACAAGACACTTAAAACACCAGGCAGGCAGCAAACTGAAGGGTTCATTTTCTCCATTTTGTTTAGGGAGGCCGTTCATTGCTAGAAATATTTATCGACACCAACATGCACAGACCCTTGTCACGTGATCATGTCAATCACTACCAACAATGAATAGTCCTTTGCAACGGAGTTCAATTTTTTTATTCTTTTATTCAATAATTCTTTTAGGTGGATTGCAATCTATGTATATATTTATATATAAAATATATTTTTTATTTGATATCTTATCATCGACACAACTACTTGCCATACTAAAAAAACTACGAAATCCTGCAATTGACACAAAAATAAAGATAACGTATTTTCCGATAGGCCTATTATCGTTCGAAGCCGCACGCGTTCTAAACAATTTGGTCACAGAAAGCAGCACTAGGCTTAAGTTAGGCCACACGGTTTTAGCTGCAGAGGAATAATAAGGTGATTTGGGTTAAATTCTTCTTCCCCAAATCCAGTTGCCGGGACTGTAAGTTGGTTGGCTGGGACTGTTAGCTAACTCCAGTTGCCCGGACTGCAAGTCGGTTCGCCAGGACTGTTAGCTCCGTGGTCAATGGATTAAGAACAAGCAATTGCCGTGTTTTGTGTAATCTTGTTCATTATATCCACATTATTTTCTTTTCAATCGTTTAGTTTTAAGAAGGAAAAATTAACTCATCCTTCCTTAAA